TTCACACCGTGGCGCTGTGGTTAGAGCGTTGGACAGAGTCTTGGCCAAGTTAGGGGTTTATCATTACGTCGCGGGTTTGATCGACCCCTGTGGTACGTGGAATGGGGCTCTTTGCATGAGACCGAGGTCCCGTGTCGCAGTAGGCGCTGGCACTAAAAATATCATTTCTTTCTCCATGGCCCTGGGTGCCGAGTATAGGACAAAATTAAATTTGCATCTCTCCACCGGCAAGTGAGTGAAAAGTTCTCGAGAGGGACGTTAAACAATATACAATAAATAAATCAGTCAAATGACACCAAGATAAATAACCTTGTGACCTTGACTGTGACCTATATGCTAAAAATAGCTTTTGCAAACTTCTGTCATAACGTTTAAACCATAGGAGATAGAGACTTCATGTTTGGTATGCATACTCCACTAATTAAATTCTTTCAAATACACTAAGATCAATGACCTTATGACCTTGACTGTGACATATGTGCTTAAAATAACTTTTGAATTTTATTGCCGCCGGACGCATAGTGTTTCATAGACACATCTTGTTTTCGTCTTGTCTTTCGTTGGTTTCAAAGATCGTAATTTTTATTCCGTGACTCTCCAAACCCACTGCCTGACCGGAATGGAGTAGGACAGCATTTAATTTTAGTACAGTCCACTTTATAATGTGTAATAATGGTCATCAAAATTTTGTATTAAGAGCCATTCTCTGTAATGATTTGAAATTTTATATAGGAGCTGTGGCAAGCATAGTCTCAGAATTTCTCCAAACTCTCTATGATAAAAGTCATTGATACCCTAAACTGAAATCAGGCAAAAATTGGTTGCTATGTTTTATAGTTACCATGGCAACATGTCTTAAAGTTCGAAAAATGGCATTTTTTAACATGTTTAGAGCCCCATAGTTAACATTTGCTACAAAACAAACAATTGGCAGTGACTGTTTCCAAAAGTTGAAGGTCAGATGTCTCAAATGCCTGATAAACATTTTTGGTAAATCAACTATTACATACGTTACTACATACACGTAAAAATAAATAGCAACTAAAGAATGAAATTTTACCAAATAATAGAAAAAAGAGCCTTCAAACATATAACAAGAACAAAATATGATATTTCATTTTGGTTGGCAATGGTTGCCAAGGTTTTTATACCACAGAGAACCTTCAAAGTAACACTCTGTATGTTTAAATCTGATCCTATCTTTTAAAAAAAGCACATTTCCTCATAACTTATGATCAATTTTATAAGATGTTGTGTGCTCCAAGTTTTCCAATTTGAAAAAAAATTCAGATTAGATTCTTTAAATAGAGCGTTGCTATGGAAACAAGCAGAAAATATATCCTAAAAAACCTGAAAAATATTTTCTTTCCTTGGATACGTACCCTTAAATGTAGATTCCAAAAACTTTTATGATTGATATTTATTAACAGCTAACTTGACTTTTAATTTTGACTATCATCCAATCTCTAAGTGGATGCAAGAAGTTGTCACACAGGGTTTAATATTGATATGGAGTTCACAAAATCGAACATTTTCCCTTCTTGGTAACCATAGCAACAGTATTGTTTTATTCATCAAATTTTATCAATATATGATATTCAACTTCAGTTCTAACAGATAAGTACTATTCAAACTGAGTCATTGATTTGTTTCTTGATTAAATGGCAATTTAATTCTTAATGCTGCGAAAAATAATTCATTTTTTAGCACTGGTACTTTGTTTCCATGGTAACACTGCAAAGTAGCAATTATACCCAATCTTTCTAATGGTTTTGGTGTTGCAAGGTCCTAAGAATGCATATTTGCCAGTCTTGAATTTTCATGTTTTTCCTTAAGACAGTAGCATTAACCCAATCTTAGTTACTGTTTTGCATGGTTACACTGTGTTACCATGGCAACCATAAAAGTTATTTATAGAATAATATTGCTTATACTTACATACTAATGTCAAACATTTTCATTGTTTTTCTTAAGTCGTTGATTGAGTTTGAGCATGTAACACCTACAATTAGTGAATACGGAGTGTTTTTCAGCATATTTCAGCATTTTAAATGTATTCCAAATCTACCCTAGGTTACCACTTACTTAGAGATATATTCTAAACAGTTTCTTTACAGTATAAGTGACATCAAGGTGTCATGTTTTTGTAAGAATGTTTTGTTTGCTTTTTCTAGTTTTTATTAAGCTACAGTCAAGATTGAAAGTGGCTGAAAATCTCGATTTTTCAAACTTTTCCGACTGTTGCCATAGCAACCGAGACACATAGCAACAAAATTTTGTTTGATATTTGTTTCTGGTGTCAAGTACTAAGCATGGGTGAAGTTTCATCAAAATCGGTGACCAAGCGTGGCAACGAAGTTTAATTGGATACAGAGAATGGCTATTAATTCCTAACTCCCGCTTTCGGAAAAGCAAGGGAAAATTAAAGCTTACTCGTCTGTCATAAGAACTTTAACCTTGGTCATATCTTTCGAATGAAAAGAGATCAGACTTTCATATTTCATATAAATGTGAATTTCAGATTTTCCTATGACACAACCTTTCTAAATACACTATGGCTTTTGACCCCGTGAGCTTGAAGTTTGACCAATTTTTGAACTTGATGTTTGAACTTCGATTTTTATCCCAAACTAACTATTATAAAAATTCCTATGAGGCAATTGGCCCCTATACCTGATTTTAATAGCATCTTTTTCTAGTAATTTATAATCAAATATGAAAGAATTTGAAAGATATATTTCATACATATTTTTTCTCTGTTTTGAGTTTAAAAGGAGATAATGAATAAAATAAAGTTGAATTGAGGATCACATTTAGAGACTTGGCATATAGAATATCCAGGCTAAAATTAAACTTCTCTCTATCACTGCAAATTACAAATATTATTGCAAAAACACATACAGATTGACATCGGTTTAAGTCTTTTATTTTTCTTTTATTTTTAAAAATATATACACATTATCACCGAATTACAAACTAATATAAACCCTCAGGATGCTTGCTGTGAAAACACACAAAAATAAAACAATCCGTATATTTCAAAATTTGGCAGTGATTTCATGTAATACTGACATCAATTAAATCAGGGGCAGCAAATTTACATTACTTAATTATCATTATAAGAAATGGATGATATACAAATAGACATTGATAGACACTTACTGAACAAGTAATAATAAACTATTTTTACATGAAAAGGCAAGACACATTAATTATGAAGCCCTTTAATGAAAATACAATCTAGCTAGCATCTACAATATCAGCCTACAGTTTTATGCTACAGTTAGGATGATCATATAATTCAATCTCTTCAATTACCAAACTCAACAAATCAGGCTGGTACTAAAATTAAACTTAAATATAAAAAATCAAATTTCAATTGTTTTACTTTTTAAAAGATGACATTCCTTTTTTTCTGCTTCATTTATGCAACATATTACATACTATAACAAGTTAATTTAAAATAAATGTAAAGAAATTGACCCCTACAATTTTTTAGCACTTTACCTCTGAGTACGGCTTTTTTAGTTTTAAATATAGGCTTTATATACATTTCTACAGAAGTATTCTGAGAAGACAAAGTTTTTTTTAGATTCCAACTAAGACTTTACAGAATTAACACTGAGACGTGTACTTTACAAATCCACACATATTTACACAGAGTTATATACAATTCTAAAATCTCCCTGAGTTTCCATTGCACATCTAGATCTTACAGATGATAATAATGAAAATTTAACATTCAATTTAAAATCTAGGATACTGTAATATGAAAAGGACAAGATAGGGTAAGAGCAGTATTTGGCCCCCAAGTTTGGCTGTCTTTCAGAATGATCCAACAGTTTATCCATAAAAACCTGTTGTCACCCCTGTCACAAAATGAGTATTGGTTTTAAGATTAAGAATATACAGGGGCCACAGTAAGGTAAGGAAAAAGATCAATTTCCGTCATTTCTCATTTTTATGCAAATTTACATCAATTTTACAGTACATTTTTTTTCTAGAAAACATAGAGTACACGCTTGCCTATCTTCCAAATTTATATATTTTATACACTAATTTCAGATACAGTTTATGTGAAAAAATCTCAGATAGGCAAGCTTGTGCTCTATGTATTCTGAAGAGAAATGTATCCAAAATATGAAATTCCACCAGAATTGAGGAAATTCTAGAAAATGCCCTATTTCTGCACACTCTAGTGGCTTCCATGTAAGCTTTGAATCAAAATTAGTGCTTGTATTAAAGTGAGGATCCTTTTAACCTCTGAACTACAAACTATAACAATTGTACCATTGTTCTGATTTTTACATCTAATAAGGGGCTAGATTCGGCTGTTACCCTATCTTATCCTTTATCTGAAAATATATAGTACTGATTTAATTCTTATTTCATGGTATTTTCTGATAGAAAAAAAATATTTATATATTGATTTTTGATCTTATATCACGTAAGAAATTATGATATTCTAAGACAAATAGAAAGTTAAATGAGGATGATAATGATTACATTTTTTCTGGAATGTACATGTACACAATGAACTTTGTACTTCTCATTAATAATTCTGTACCCAACTATACATATTCAATAATCAGGAAATTTAAAGTCCTCCAGTTTGTCAAATCCTTCTTTTTCAAAATGCATCTCCGCACATTCACCCTGATTTGAGATGATACTGACAGAAAGACAAGTTTAATATACTGTATCTTCAATGGATATGGAAGGGTCTCTATATTAATATTATTTTATTTCATCCATGAGAAGATTACTTATTTTTTTCTTAGGTTGTGATTTTATAAATTCATACCAAAGTGTATACATTGAAAACCAACTGTGCAGGTAAAGAAAGGGTGTATACATAGAAATGAGTGATAGACCTTTTATTGTTCAAGAAATTAACTCTCATTTTTTATCAGTCATTTTAATATAACAATAACATACAAAATTAAAAATATGTATATGATATTAACAGAATATACTTCAGAACGATGAAAATAAGTAAATGTCTTTCTATGTTCACATTGTCTTCTTGTCTTCCTAATCTCATGACAGAGCACCTGTAAAATAAGAAAAAAAAATGAGAACATGAACATCTGAACTCTCTCTCTCTCTCTCTCTCTCTCTCTCTCTCTCTCTCTCTCTCTCTCTCTCTCTGTGTGTGTGTGGTTGGTGGTTGGTAATGGGTGTTTGTTACTTAAACATTTTTAATGGATAACTTAATTCAAAACAAATACATATATATTTTACCCATGTTTTACGTTTGGTTTTCGTCTAAATTCATCCCTGACAGAGCTTCTTGCAGGTCCTCTAAACTTTCACGATCAATCTGGGACTACAATTATACAGGAATTAGAATTCTTAAAGAAACTTGTTTTAGCAAATTTTGAAATTGAATACATCGCTAATGTTAATCATGAAGGACGTGCGCAGAATCTGTGACGTATAGGGGGGAAGCAGAATGAGATCCAATTTATGGCACGATAAAACGAAATTAATGTTAAATACCGTATTGCAGTTGTTTCAACACTCGATAGAGTTATCTTCTGTTAATAATAATTACACTTTATTTTGAAAATAGTTCAAACAGATTTTAAAACTTCAGGCACTTGACACTTACTTAATACGTATATATCACCCCTCCGGGGTTTCCGCGAATCTTTACTTCTCTTTCAATTACATTTTTACCTCGACCAAGATATTTTGTCACTTTCACTTTGGTTTTCTCACACATTCCTAAAGCTTCTAGTTGTCTTAAGATCCATAGTCGCCTATTGTCTGCTAACACCCAAACTCCATT